TGTTTAAAATAATGAATTCTCAAATGCCAACTTATTTAAAAAACAAATTTCAAGAGCGCAATACAACATACATGACCAGGTCTAAGGACATACTTAAGGTACCCAAACCCAGCACAGAATATAAGAAAAAGTTTTTCCTATCAGGGAGCCATTGTCTGGAATAACCTAAACCTCAATATGAGAATGGCCTCAAATGTTCAAACTTTTAAAAAACTATTAACAAATAATTGAAAGTTACTTGCATAAGATAACACAGTAATTGTTTTTTTTTTGGTTGCTTTTACTTCTTTATTTCTGTTTGTCTTGCAATTGTTTTTGTAATTTAAATTTTGTTATTATGTACTTCAGAAACGGCCTTGTGAAAAACACATTTAATTTGTGATCAAGTTTTCTGTTTTCAAATAAAGTCATTATTATTATTATTATTATTGATTACTGCTAGGCCAAAATAGGTCTAGGCAAATATAGAAGGTAGGAAGTAGGCGAGTCAAGTGGCTGAGTGGTAAGGCAGGGACGCTGTTTCGAGCCACTCCTTGCCCAGGGTTTCGTTGGTAGAACCCAGTCTCCTCAGATGAGGACTTCCTGTAAAATGGGAGGTCCGTTGTACACATCTGGCTCATATGCACTTTAAACAACCCATGCATCTTTCCGAAGAGTAGGGGGTTACCCTGATGCTATGGTTTCTTTCAGTCCCTGTCATTGTGGAATGATGTGAACATAAAGCTACTACCTGTAAAGCACCTCTTCACGGCTGCTACTGTAGTCATGGACAACACCGATTTGCAATTCAGCACAATGTAGACCTGAAGAAATATGTGACATTTAACTACATTTTACCAATACAGACAGGGCCGTGGTAAAGCAATTGTTTGCGTGACTTTCACACTAAAAGCTGTCCGATTTTTACAAAGACTATGAAGGGCAATACAAATGATGAGAACAGACCTGCAACACATTTTTAGTCCGTAAATTTGGCGTGAAAATCATGCAAAAAATTGTTTTGCCATGGTCTGCATTGGTAAAATGTAGATAAAAGCCTTGCATTCTTAACAGCATAGGCTCATGTATACAACAATAGTGGCATATACAATATTCTGTATTCTACTAAATCAACTAAATATAGTAGATTGCCTTAAAGACATAGTATTTTTTTTCCATTGCATTTGAGTTTGATTTAGGTTATGAAGAATAACCAAGAATAATTATATGTACTGAACGTCATATACAGTACAGTATTTTATAAAGTGTGAATTCCATTTTTACTGCTTTTTTGAATAGGAATTTTGTTTTTGTATCCTCATCGATCATTTGTCCAGGAAGGAAGTCATATTGAGCCACGAAGGAAGCATTTTGGCTGGAGTTTTACTGCAGAGCTCATTACTTTAATTGTGTATCGTTGCTCAACAATGAGGCTGTATAAAAATACAAACCAGATAGCCTTCTGTGCACTATCTAAACAAACATAGCCAGCTATTTTCATTATACCGCAGAATAGCAATTTATGTCAAGATTATAGGTGACTATAACAGAATAGAGGTGACACAGTTTGTTACTGATTACTAGTTTAAAGATGGTGGATATAGTGACATGTATCTGACCTTAATAATTAAGATTACAGTAGTCATAAACAAAGATGGGTAGACATGTTTGGGAATATTGATAGGAAGATGAAATGGCTGTACTGCTACTGACATAGTAAGTGGTATACTGTAGACATGACACTGAAAAACATGGACTAAATAAAGTCTAGCAAAAAAGAAAAAAAAAACCTTAATGCAAAGAGATTTAGTAATGAATTGACTTGGGGGCAAAAAGAAACATCACCAGGGATGTAGGTTTATAAAACTAAGGGTGTGTGGTAGACATTTTAAGGGTGGGTGGGTACACCATCTGTGAAAGTCCTTCCCTTGGCCCCCTCTATTTTGAATTTCTGGATCCGCAGCTGGTGATATTAGGGAGCGTTTCATTTCATTTTTTCATTTCATTTTTTTTGTCTAATTAAAATACATAAAAAACAACAACCGGTTACAATACAACAAGATAAAAGCATAAAAAATATGAAACAGGCCGAGACAGGATTCCTAAAAGTGAACCAAATCACTATCAAGTCTCCTAATGCACTATTCCGATTACACATAAAATAATAATGAGCAATTGAAATAATACTTAAAATCTGTAAAATTTGCCTTAACAAGCATTTGATTGCTCGACGGCGGTAGGACGTAATGACGTCACATAAAGTCATTGGATTCTTCATCCATGGATAATTCGTTGCGGGGACTCAATTTGGACAAATCTGCGTTGCGCAGAGAACGTAGGTCGGTCACACTTGAGTGAATCCGTTCTAGCGTTGTGTCATCGCGCAAATCGAAAGCTGACTATTAGTAGTTGGTTACAACCTGACTAGGATGTGACTATTAGTAGTTGGTTACAACCTGACTAGGATGTGAAGATATTAGAACTGACAAATATAATTAGCAAATGTACAGAACTAATGAAATGGAATACATTGAAGGCATGAAATTGAATTTAGGTAAGCAAGCTACCGTACTACTGTATGTACAGCAGTTGATATTATTAGACTAGACGTTGTCCCACATTCACGAATGCTTGAGCATTTTTCATAGTTATTTCATTATTTATAGTTTAATATGAAAATATTTTCCTATAATCTATCAATATATAAATCTAGAACTATATTATTATTTAGGGAATGGCAAAAAAAATATTATACTTACATTTGGCTATGAAATTTTAATGCCTTTTTTCCAAGGTTACTACTTGTAGTATACCTGTAGTGCTCATATTATTTATTTATAAAGGGATAATTATAAAATTAAATGAAGATATATTCAACTTTTTGTTAAGAAGAGCAGTTGTTGACCGACTGTAGAACCAGGAAATAAAGGAATCTAAAAAAAGTTTGGTTAATATTTACATTTCACTTTATAGGAATTTACTTAATTCATATTAAAAATCAAAGTTCCTGATTTTGAATGCAGTAGTCAACAGGAAATATTATTATTATATTTGATTAACAAACAATAATATGACCAAAAATACCTTAAGAAATTTTCAAAATTGTTAGAATTAGAACAAATTTAAAAGGTGAATTTACTATAAAGAGAAATTTCTAATCTTAAAAACCATGTTTGTTTCTTTCATCTAATTTCCTTTTTGATTTGTTTCTAGGAGTCCAAACATCAACATTATATAATAAGTACGGTAATCTATAATTGTCTTGGCGTAGCTTACATATTCCGAGACACATCAATTTTCCGGGTATTAGCCCACCCTTCCAGCCTTAAATACAGGTTCATTTTGGAGGGGAGGGATCTGGGCCTTTACACAAGAATGAGAAAATGCAAAAAATAATGTGCAGGCTATAGGGTTTCAGAAAGTGTTGAATTTCTGTTCCAAGCTTTTGAAGAAAGGGTCAATGGAGCATTTTGCATTAAATTAATTTGTGTTCTTT